TTTTTTGCTGGAGATCTACTTATTGTACATACCCTGCAATTCTAGTAAAGAATAAGTTAAGACACCACCACACATCTTTTACCATTTAAAATGGTTAAATCACAAACTGACATAACAATAAGCCCAAAAATTCCAGAAATTATTTGAAAGACATCCTGAGAGTTTGGACATTTTATATATCAGTTGGGACAAAGTCAAGCTATCGATTTTTTTAATATGGTGGGGCTGACTGGAAACATGTTCATGTTCATAAAACAGACTTTTTAAACATCACTCAGACATGGATGATAAATGAATGCAAAAAGCTTCCTACTGAAGATATAAGAGATGCAGCAAATAAAAAAGATTAGACAAAAGATTTGACTAAGGGGTTCCTGTGAGACCTAGTGTTGGGTCTAAAGCCCGTTGATGGTTACAGATTGCATTCCGTCAGGATGCAGTCCACCAAGAAACATATTTTCATATGCTAGTGCGGGTGTATGCATGTATTTGAAGCCCTATGTATATTTGATATACATATATTTTATACATGTATATAGTATGAAACGGTAATACTTGTTAAGTCAACCAATGTTGTAAGTTCCCTTCACCCTGAAAACACAAGAGTTAAGAGGCATGCTTAAAAGCTCTATGATAATGAGTGAATGTACTGTAGAGTGATTACTGCCACCACGACTCTCTCGAACCAATCCATTATGAGGTCTGGCATCTTAGATTTAATGCCCACTACATAAGGACTGTTGCTGGGAGTCATTATTAGAAATCCTACTCATGTCTTATTCTGGCTCCCTGCCTCTTTCCTACCTTCTTGGCAGAAGGCAATAGCATAGTCCATGACCCAGCTGACCAGAGCCATGACCAGCCCCAGCAAAATGAGGAAGATCCAGTCCTCTCCCACCCGTGAGATCAGGAACTTCTGGCAGCGGGATGCACACACTAAAGTTCACAAACAAGAAAGAGAGAAAACATAAATCCCTGAAAAAAACAACTCAAAGGAAATTTAGTCAGGTAATTTAAATTGTATTTCTGGAAAAAATTAAGGCTGATTGGCTGAAGACATGAAAAATAAAAGGCGACTGCTCATTTACATTAGCAAGTAAAAGATAAGATAATTTAACTTTATTGATCTCACATTAGAGAAATTTACCTCTGCATTTAAACCATACCCTTGGGGAGCAGTGGGCTGCCATTGTGCAGCGACCGGGGAGCAATCAGAGTTAAGGGTCTTGCTCATAGACCCAGAGTGGCAGTCTGTGGGAGTGGGTTTCAGACTCATAACCTCAGGATTTCAAGCGCTATGCCCTAACCACTGGGCTACCACTCCCCAAGGATTAAAGGTTTCTTTTTTATTTCTTTAAAATATTCTCTACATTTTATATAAACATACCGTAGAGTTACACACGGATGTCAGCAACTACCCAAATAACCCACACATAAAAAACCTAAAGTAAATTAGTCAAAAAATTGAATTATATGTAATGAAGCTGGTTAAGAACAGAACAAATTAACAAAACCATGTGAAAAGGTTATATTGTTTAAAGCCAAGAAACCTGCTAAAGTATGACAGTGTTTAAATACCCTCCCCGCAACTATGGGCAAACCAGTATCAGCTTTTTCAAAGTTAGTCACTATTTTACAAACTTTTACACTTTGGACAACTCTTAACTGGTTTGTGCAGAGTAAAGTAGACATGAATACAACTGATCTCTGTGAACTGAAGGACAAACTTGCAGACATTTTGTGGTGTAGAATGGTTGAAAGACACACTTGAGCAATAACAGTGACTAGTTTCTCTATGCATGAGGCATTTTAAAGCTTCTATGACCAAGAAAGCCTTTCAAAAACGTATCCAATATATTTGTGTAGGATAATATGCCATTTGTTTCTTTCCATTGTTTTGCTCTTGCGATGGTCTGGCCACCAGTTTACAGGCCATAATAGTGCCCTAATCATCTTTGATATCTTTTTATGTGTGGATTTACTATTTTTTTTTTTTACTTTTTTACATCAGGTATGACTTTGATGTCAATGTAAACAACTATAGCATATATACTCAGAAAACCCTCTGCTTTTAGGAGTTGGAATAATTTGCAGTAAAAGCAAATAATTTCACAAAACAATAGGAAACCTAACAGTTCTTAGTGTTTTTTCTTTTTTTACAGTTTCAGATTTTGAAATCCTGGACTATGACAGTCAAGGATTAAGCTGTTGTTATTTTAGTCAAAAAGTGGAAATACAGATTTAAAGCTAAAGTATCAACTGGACACAAAAAACACACAAAAAACATAATAACAGACAATTAATTCAATTTATAGGTCTCTCAATGTTAGATAAAAATTTGTATCTGATTTTGTGTAAAAAAAAAAGGACTAAATTCCAGCTCCTTAAAACAGATAACCAGGTCTAATTTAAAAGTATTTTTCACAAATCAGTTTATCATTAAGCTATCATATAGATCACTAGACAAAGAGCCTCATGGGAGACAGAGCATTACTTAATGCATACCCCCTTAAAATGTGAGAATTTAGCAGTAAAATAAAGCTAGGCCATTCTTATAACCTTTATCACAATAAAATCCATAAATCTGAGCTAGGTCACCTAAAAGAAGCATCACTGGACTAATTTCCTCCCTCTGGTCTCTTAAACGCAGCCAAAGCCTGGAATTTACTTCAGTATTCAGAGCATTCATAGATGTGGTCATCCCTGGAGAAGATAAAAATGTGCCACTTACACACAGAAAGATCCATATTTCCTGAAACTGCATCAGACAAGTCATCTTAAACTTTCTTTCTTGTAAATGGCCTGTTTGATTGTATCTGAGTGGAAAACTGAAGACGTAAGACACAGAACACAGTAACACACATGGTAACACAAAAACATTTAATAAAAATAAGACAGAAATACAATAGCGAGTTATCAAACAAATACATTAAAGAAAGTTTTGTATTCGGTATTTCAAGTTGAATACTATTATCAAGGAAACTAGAATTACATCCTTCAAATCCCTATATTAAATACTGACCAGTTCTTTCCTAGTTCCCATTCTTTTTGACTATTTTACATGACAAGTTCCAAACATATAAAATCATGTGACACCGTTTATACCATTTCTATAATCTCTTGTTTGTAGATTTGAGTGGTGGGCATTTTCTCACTGCTACTATATGCTAGACACAATAGCCTTGCAGCTTTGGTTGGAGCTGCAAGTCGTCTCACCCTTCATGAGGCTGTCAGTTCATTTGTACCTTCTTTTATTCTCTGACTGGTGAGTAGCTCCTATTCTTTTTGAATTGGCAGAAATCTACTAACTGCCATAGTTGGTTTTGTTGTTGCTGCTGCTAAAGTGTTATTTCCCCATCATTCAGCCATGCTTCTTGTTTTGCTTGCTGTTGTTTTTATACCCTGACAAGTGGCATGTTGGGCCGCTTGCTCAACCTAGATTTATAATTTCTGGTTGAATGTTGTGTCAGAAGTGGTGTTCTTAGTTCAGTTCACAGATGAAGGAGCTTATTCAGACCGTCCAGTGTTTTGGTGGCACTGGTCTGGTAACAGAGCCTGACCCTGGCCCAGACCTATGCTTTGGGGTTTCTTCCTTAATGAAGATGCGGTTTAACTAGCAGTTTCTGGGACATTGTTTCCTAATCCGTTTGATTTTTTTCTCTTGTGTGTCGATGTCTGGTTCCAATGCCTCCTAGGGTTCTCATCTTGTGAATGGGTCTAGCCTTAGCCCTTGCTTTTCTTAGAAAGCCTGAAAGTTGTCCCTGCTACATGGCCTCCCCCATGGCGGACTATCTTAAAGGGGAACGCCGTTTTTTTTACATTGGGCCCTTTATTTTACATTATTACATCATGTTCTATTCACCCATATGAGTTGTTTGTCTTTGGAGCTGTGCTGAAGATATTCCGTTAGGTTATATCCAAGTAACGTCTTCCTATGGGCAAACGAGTTGAAGGCACAAACTAAACTGTTCATAATTTGTTCTTTATGGTACTCCAGCATTCATAACATGTAGGCAAATCACTGGCCCCCAGACATCCGCGGTTATATTTTTTATATTTATATCTTTTAAAAACAAAGCGGAGTGTGTATGACCTCACCCGTGCGCGTCGGCTACCATTTATCCTGTCCGCTGAATTGCTGCTAGTTTTACTCACATGATCTACTCACTACTACAGATGATCTCGCTCTCGAAATGGAATTGAACGGTTCAGATTAGCTAGCCGAATGAATATAGGGGGTAGAACATAGCCGCCTGTGGCCCGGGCTGCCTGTCACAACTCCAGTCCAGCGTGCGGATGATGTCATACACACTCCGCTTTGTTTTAAAAAATATATAAATATAAAAAATATAACCGCAGATGTCTGGGGGCCAGTGATTTGCCTACATGTTATGAATGCTGGCGTACCAAAAAGAACAAATTATGAACAGTTTACTTTGTGCCTTCAACTCGTTTGCCCATAGGAAGACGTTACTTGGATATAACCTAACGGAATATCTTCAGCACAGCTCCAAAGACACACAACTCATATGGGTGAGTAGAACATGATGTAATAATGTAAAATAAAGGGCCCAATGTAAAAAAAAAAAAAAACTGTGTTACCCTTTAAGGAGGTGCTTACATGTTGGACTAATACAAGAGCCTTTCCCTGGCTCATGTCTAATAACAGGGCTCTAGTAGCCATGCAGTGTGTGCCTAAGTTTTGATTGGGCCATGTGCCTCCAGTGGAGAGGTGTAATTGCATCTTTCACTGTGGCTTCTTATGATGCTTTGAAGCTCAGTGCTTTGTGTCCTCTTCCCCAATGCCTCATCAAGGTTGGGCTGCTCTGCCATGCTTATAATTTATATGCTTGACTGGGTTGTCTTGGCAATTCTTTATTCCAAGTTCTGTTGGCTATGTCAGTCTTGCCTGAGGGTACTACCTCGGACCTAGTCTGGGTTTGACTATGCATCCCCACATCCTTTTGCTCTCAGGTCAAGGGAGAACAGTCTGGTACTGTCTGCCCTTGTGCAGGTAAGGCTCGCTCAATCTAAGCTCCCATGTTTGAGGGGGGGCAGCAAGTGACATTGTACGAATAGAGATGGGATGGTTGCCACGTACCAGATGCATTGGTGGTGTCCATACTATCTCCTGGTTATAGCTCCGCTGCTGCTCTCAAAGTTAGGGTTAGGTCAAAATGACAGTCATCAGTTACCCAATTAAAGCATTGGCATTGAAAAGCAAGATTAACAACTTGCAGGCCAAGGACGTGATCATTCTTGTCAACTCCGTGTTGGATCCACAGATTTACTCCACACTGTATATATTTTGGTTCTGAAGCAGAATGGCAGTTTGACTGAGAGGCCTTAATATGTTTTTATCCTTCCACATACTGATTGTCTGACTGAAACATTCATCATGCAGGTTCCCCGGCGATTGGTTCAATTCGATCTTCCCGAGGGAAGTATATTTGCATGTGCTTGCTTTCCCGCACCATTGGTGCTTTTTTTGTTTCTCCTTTCAGGAGATGCATTTTAAGTTTAGAATTCTTCCATTTGGCCTCTTTCGGTCTCCTTAGGTGTGTAGCAGTAGCTTTGTCTCTTGCCCATGCCCAGGGGGTGAAGATCCTCCCCTACCAGGATATTTGGCAATCTGTGCTCTCACAAGGAATTAGGCTTCAGTAGATACTTTGGTCAATCGACCGCTTGGGTCTTCGTGTGAACTGGGAACAGAGTGCCCTGTCTCAGGTGATGTTTTTTATTGGTGTTTCCCTAGACTTATGGGCGATGACTGCTTTCTCTTCACCTCAATGTGTTGCAAGGATATTGGAGTTGCTGCCCAGGTAACATGCCTCCATCTGTAAGGCATGCTGACCACAGGCTCTATGGTGATGATTCTGGGAGGTTTCTCATTGTCCTTTTCAAATGTAGCTTAACGCCTTCAGATTGGATACAGC